CTGGGCAGAGAGACTCATCTCTACAATAAATCAAAAAATCAGCCGGGCGTGGTAGTGCATGCCTGTAATTCCGGCTACTCAGAAGGCTGAGGCAGAAGGATCGCCAGAGCCCAGCAGGTCGAGGCTGCGGTGGCCAGGAGCAGCCACTGCCCTCCAGTCTGGGTGACAGAGTGACTCCAACTCAAAAATATATATATATATTTGTCATTTTATTCAGGTTGGCTCAATTACTTGTCAGAAAAAGGTTGTGATCAAATTGTTGACTACTAGGTAAAATAATTTGGAGTAGTATATTAAATAGTTAATTATTAAAATAATTCTTCGAAAACACTTGAAAACATTGTCTTATAAGCATTTGTCTATTTGAACATCATTTAATTTAAAAACATTTATTGAATCCTTTTATGTGCAGAGATACAACCTGAGCCTTCAGGACATTTATAACCTAATATTTCCTCTCATCAAGGTTAGCCGCGCACCAGCATGCCACAATGAACATTCCCATGACAGATTTGTGGTAGTTGCCTAAGAATAAGAATGGTATGTGGCAATGATAGAAGTCTGAAATGACAGATTTATTAAGCACTTTTAGGCCATCAAGTTACAAAAGGCTATTAGTAGACTTAAAAAGACAAAGAGTATAAAATCAAACAATGCTAAATGGCAGATTGTTTTAGGTTGAACAGTTCCCAATATCTATAGTACATTATTAATTTACTTAGCAAACGTTTCCCCTGAGATCTGTAGTTTAAAAAGTATTTTTGAGTCAGTATAATATATATATATTGATCATGACACACTCATTTCTTCTGAATACAGCTGGTAAAATTAAGAGAAAGTGTTGCATCTTTCTTGACTTGTTATAAAATGAAAAGATCCTCTAGATTTCTGGGTAAGAGGGATAACTAGCAATCCCACAGTGATTTTTACTATTTCTTGCCATTCGAATATATCCTTGTTCACCAAAGTAGAGGCCCCAGCTTTAGAAAAAGAAAGAACACAAAATTATAAATGAATACAATCAAATCATATTATCAACTTTTTATCTTTGTTTTTCTCTTATAAGTGATTATCTATGAAAAACTGTAAAACAAAATTAGAATGAAATCATATAATATTTTCTCCAGGGATTTTAAGTAGTTTCCAAAGGATAGTTTGGAAGTCTTTAGTGCTATGTTGATGAATAGACTTAGTACCTAAGGAAAACAAAATAAGATCCATCACCGTGCTTTAATCCTCCTACTTTGTAAATATGCCTTATGTAAGAAAAGAGTATTGCTGTCCTTTATGAGGCTTTATCCTTACATTTTTGCGTAATAGTATCATGGGTGATTATTTTCCATCAAGCTTAAATTCCTCTAGAGAATGTCACTACAGAAATATTTTTGTGCTTGTAATCCCAGCACTGGGCCGGAGGTTTCCTTGAGCCCAGAAGTTCAAGACTAGCCTGGGCAACATATAGCAAGACCCTGTGTCTACAAAAAAAATTAAAAATTAAAATTAACTAGGTGCACTGGTGCATTCCTATAGTCCCAGCTACTCAGGAGGCTGAGGCAAGAGGATCACTTGAGACTTGGAGGTCAAGGCTATAGTGACTTATGGTCATGCCACTACACTCCAGCCTAGATGACAGAGCGAGACCCTGTACCAAAAATCATATCAAATAAAATTGGGGTGGGGAGGGCAGGCCAAAAATAAAATAAAATATAAAAATAAAAATTTTGAGAGACTACTATGAAAAAGGCATAGGGCAGGAAATTCTAAAGTAAATAAGAAATGCAGCTCTGAAAGGGTTTTTTATCTAGAAGTGGAGCTGAGATAAGACTTTCTCAAAACCAAAGGTATCAAAAAATAGAATTGGCTGCATTGTAAGGAAGTGAGCTCCCTGACACTGCAGTGTTCAGAGGCTTCTTGCATAAATTGTTATAGATGTTGCAGCGGAAACTCCTCTGAGTAAGATAAGGGTTAGAGGAGATCAATGGTTCTCTCACTTTTGGATTTCATGAACTTAGAGGATTTCAAAAAATTTTTACAGATTGACATATGGTTATCAATTTTTATGTTTATTTTTTATTTTTATTTTTGAGTCAGGGTCTCACTCTGTCACCCAGGCTGGAGTGCAGTGTACAATCTTAGCTCACCATAGCCTCAAACTCCTGGACTCAAGCAATCCTCCTGCCTCAGCCTCCCGAGTAGCTGGGACTATAGGCAAGCACCACCATGCCTGGCTAATTAAAAAAATTTTTTTATAGAGACAAGGTCTTGCTATGTTGCCTAGGCTGGTCTCAAGCAACTCTTTCACTTCGGCCTCTCAAAGTGCTGGGATTATAAGGGTGAGCCACTGCACCCGGTCCAGTTATCAATTTTCAAATTAGCATGTATGGATATACAAAATTCTATTTACTATTGACATCATATTGTAAATGAAAGGATGTTTTAATACCAAATACAAAAAAATCCAATGACATCTCTCTACTTTTAAAATAGTCCTTTGAGTAAAATAAATTTAGATTTTTTAAAAAGTCTAAAATATTCTTGTTTCTCTCACTTTTCCACAGTCTAGTGAAAAAGCTCACAAATTTCTTGTTAGAGAAAAAATGTCTAAAGTTCTTTATGATTCTGAGATTTTTGTAATTATAGATATAAAAGTAATTATAATATGAGGCAGAATTCATGAAATGCTCTAACTAGGATACAAATAAAAGTGAAATTGAGAAAATGCCTAGTGTTTGGAGCAGCAAAATTTAGTTGAAATGAAAACTGGCTGTCTTTTTTTTTTTTTTTTTTTGAGTTAGAGTTTTACTCTGTCACTCAGGCTGGAGTGCAGTGGCACGCTCATGGCCACCGTGGCCTTGATCTGCTGGGCAGGTGATCCTTACACCTCAGCCTTCCAAGTAGCTGGGAACTATAGGCACTTGCCACCTTGTCCTGCTAATTTTTTGATTTATTGTAGCAAAGGGGTCTTGCCAAGTTGCCTAGGCTGGTCTCGAACCTGTGGGTTCAGGCAATCCTCTCACCTCGGCCTCCCAAAATGTTGGGATTATAGGCATAAGCTACCACGCCCAGCCTAGAATATGTAGTTTATTATTCCCCACCAAACTATAAGAGGGTTGTACAATCTGTTATTTTGCATTTGATCCCCATAAAAGAAATTTTACTCAGTTATCCTTAGGCATTAAATCATTAGCCTAAATTGTTAGCCATGAAAACATTCTGTAAAACTTATTACTGTATTGGAACAGTTGAAATGTTGTTAAGGGCGTGGTTTTCTATGTTGTATAGTGTTCTGTTCGTAGAGACACAAAGGAATAATAAGAGTAATTACTATGATTTATTGGACACATACCATGTGCCAGGCACTACATGGTAAGTGTTTTACATGCATTTTCTTGTTTAAGCCTTATAATAATCTTGAGGATATTATTCCCATTTTACAGATGAGGAAACTAAAAATTAAAGAAGTGAAATAGCCTGCTGCAGTTTTAAAATTAAAGAAGTTAGCCGGGCTCTGTGGCTCAGCCTGTAATCCCGTGCCTTTGGGAGGCTGAGGTGAGTGGATTGCCCAAGCCCGTGGGTTTGAGACCTACCTGGGCAGGCAAGACCTCATCTCTACAATAAAATCAAAAAATTAGCCAGGCGTGGTAGCACGCGCCTGTAATTCCGGCTACTTGGAAGGCTGAGGTGGAAGGATCGCCGGAGCCCAGTAGGTCAAGGCTGCGGTGGCCGGGAGCAGCCACTGCACTCCAGTCTGGGTGACAGAGTGAGACTCCAACTCAAAAAAAAAAAATTTAAGAAGTTAAATAACAGTAAAGAGAGCTAGGTTTCTAACCAAGATCTGCCTTGCTTCAAAGTTAATGCTTTTATTCACTGTGATATACTGTATTATGTAAAGATGCTAACTACCAATGTCAGGAAAGGAGAGAAAAATTCTAGAACATGGGTTAATGTTACATACATGCTAGAAAGATTAGGTATAAACAAAAGGAAGATATAAAAGAAGAGACCAGGGCAACCCCTTCGGGTCCCCTCCCACTGTGGAAGCTTTTCTGTAGTCTCAATAAATCCTGCTTTCTAAAAAAAAGAAGAAAAAAGAGTCAAAATAGCGAAAAACTCCAAAACTCCACATTCTTTCACATGTGGTTAACTTGGTAGTATTGGGAATGACACGTACTTCAACCTTTTAAGAGATCAGTAGGTACACATTTGATTATCTAAGAGGATTTTCTTTGAATGTACCCTTCATGGATGCTGTAATTCTTGTGTACGTTCAATCTCTCCTTGTTAGGACTTAGTGTCAGCAGTGAATGTGGTGTTTCATCATGTGGTCCCTGTCTATCTTGCTTCTCTCTCATACGCTAATCTTTAGAAAAGTATATGCAGGCTGGGTGTAGTGGCTCAAGCCTGTAATTCCAGCACTTTGGGAGGCTAAGGTGAGGGAATCGCCTGAGCTCATGGGTTCGAGAACAGCATGGGCAACTTGGTGAGACCTCATCTCTACAATACATCAAAAATTAGCTGGGCGTGGTAGCGGGCACCTGTAGTTCCGGCTACTTGGAAACCTGAGGTGGAAGGATCACCGGAGCCCAGCAAGTCAAGCCTGGGCGACAGAGTGGAGACTCCGACTCAAAAAAGAAAAGAAAAGTACATGCAGTTCCCTTAACTCCTGTCCCTTTTCCCACCTCTGCATTTGCACATTTAGCTTTCTGTGCTCTGACTGCCCTTTTTCACCTAAGTCCTTGTCCTTCAAGATTTAATCAAATACTAGCCTGAGCAACATGGCAAGACCTTGTCTCTACAATAAGTCAAAAAATTAGCTGGGCCTGGTAGTGCACACCTGTAATTCTAGCTACTTGGAAGGCTGAGGTGGAAGGATCGCCTTAACCCAGCAGGTCAAGGCTACAGTGACTGTGAGCGTGCCACTGCACTCCAACCTGGGTGACAGAGTGAGACTCCAACTCAAAAAATAATAATAATAATAAAATATTTTATGGCCGGGCGCAGTGGCTCATGCCTGTAATCCCAGCACTTTGGGAGGCAGAAGTGAGAGGATTGCCTGAGCTCAGGAGCTCGAGACCAGCCTGAGCAACATGGTGAGACCTTATCTCTACAATAAATAAAAAAATCAGCTGGGCATGGTGGCATGTACCTGCAGTTCCAGCTATTTGGAAGGGTGAGGCGGAAGGATTGCCAGAACCCAGCAGGTCAAAGCTGCAGTGACTGAGAGCGTGCCACTGCCCCTCAGCCTGGGTGACAGAGTGATAACTCCAACTCAAAAACGAAAGAAAGAAAGAAAGGAAACTTAAGGAGCAGGTGAGTTTGCTTTGATATAGCCAGATATAGTAAGTAATGGGGAAAATACGAGGCTAAAGCTGATGTAGCAAAATGAATCAAAATGTCTCCGTGTCATAGGTGTGCTGAAAGTAAATGCATTCGAGAGTTTATAATGTAGAGAGATCATTTATATTTCTGTACCAATGCATATGTTTTTTGGGCCATTGAGCAACTTTCCAACTTCCAACACACTCTACTCTTCCAACAAGTGAGCAATTCCATGAATCTGAAAACTTAATGTGGATGACACCTTTCTGTGGATAGTTAGGCAGTTCAGCATCTCTTACTCTGTAGTCCCACAGCCATTCAGACATATGTCATTTTACCATGAGGTGTTGTATCATTTAACAGACCCAATTCCATGTTGGATTGTGAGCCCTTTCAGGGCAGGATGGGTTTTTCAAAAATATTTTTTGTATATCTAGGGCTTAGATCATGCCAGTCACTATAGATGCCTAGTAAATGCTTGTTGAATGAATGAGTGCAGAGAAGTTATGAATTCCAACAGTAAAAGATACAGATGATCTTTAAGAAGAGCAGCTTCAATACAAAAAGCAATTTAGAACATCTGCTGTAGGAAGTCCCTCAGAGCATCAGTAAGATATGAGGGAAATAGCCGGGCTGGGTGGCTCAGCCTGTAATCCCGCGTCTTTGGGAGGCTGAGGTGAGTGGATTGCCTGAGCCCGCGGGTTCGAGACCTGCCTGGGCAACTCGGCGAGACCTCATCTCTACAATAAATCAAAAATTAGCCGTGCGTGGTAGTGCGTGCCTATAGTTCCAGCTACTTGGAAGGCTGAGGCAGAAGGATCGCCAGCACCCAGCAGGTGAGGCTGCAGTGGCCAGGAGCGGCCACTGCACTCCAGTCTGGGCGACAGAGTGAGACTCCAACTCAAAAAAAAAAAAAAAGATATGAGGGAAATTATTGCTTCACTTAAAAAAGCTATCACCTGTCTACACCCAACTGGTTAGTGCTGTGAATAAGTTATTGGTAAGCCAAGATATTGATGCCCCGGCTACCTTCTAAATAGGCCATACAAATATTCTGAATTTATTATGTAATATTATATATGGTATGCCATATCATGAAAAAAGTAGGAAAGCAACTTTTTTGTTTGTGATTTGTAGACTATGAACTTCCAGTAAAGATCTGAGGAATGTTAGGGGTTGCCTTGTGTCCCCACAAAATTCCTGTTGCAATCCTGACCCCAGTACCTCAGAACGTGACCTTATTTGGAAGTAGGACTATTGTCGATGTAATTAGTTAAATTAAGATGAGGTTACTAGGGTGGGCCCTACTCCAACAGAACTGATGTCATAAGAAAAGACAAAATTATACTCAGAGACAGACATGCACTCACAGGGAGAATGCCATGTGAAAGTGAAGGCAGAGATTGGGGTCATGCTTCTACAGGCCAAGGAAAGCTAAAGATTGCCAGCAAAACTTCAGAAGCCGGGAGAGAGGCACTGAACATATTTTTTGAAAAAAATACTCAGTTGACAAATATCGTATATATTCACAGAGTACAATGTGATTTGCTATACTTTTATATTGTATCCTAATTCTCACAATCACATTAATTACATATTCATCACCATCTATGCTGCACATCCCCAGAACTTGTTCATCTTATAACTGGAAGTTTGTTACACTTTGATCAATATCTTCCTATTCTCCCCACCCCCCAGTTCCTGGCAACCATTGTTCTACCCTCTGTTTCTATAAATTTGACTTCTTTAGATTCTATATGTGAGATCATACAGTACTTTTCTTTCTGTGTCTTTGAACATTTTCTTCCTCTCAGTCCTCTGAAGGAACTAAGCCTGCCAATGCCCTGACTCAGACTTCCAGCCTCCAGTACTGGCAGACAGAAGTTTCTGTTATTCAAGCCACCCAGTTTGTAGGACTTTGTTGTGGCAGCCCTAGGAAACTAACACAAAGAGATGCTTCAAGTGTGCTGAAAAGTCTCAAATCTTTCTATTTCCTCTCTTTGTATGCTCTAGAAGTTATATTCCTTTTGTTTATGAATTACATAGATGTCAGTTCAATACACCCTAGTGGTGGCCATTAGATGCCACCTATATGTACTGTGCTGAGGATATGGAGATAAGACATAATCTTTACCCAAAGGCACATACAGAATATTGGAGTGACAGACAGGTAAACATATAATTTAAATATAATGCATAAAATGCTGTAATCCAGTGTGCATATGACATTTTGACAGCATAGGAAAAAAAAAGAAATTTTGCTTATCCCGTGGATTTAGGAAATACTTCCTGGAATAGATCATGTCTGAACTGCTTTAGAAGGAAAAGGAACAATAAAGAGAATGAAGAGAAAGGATGTTCAGGAAGAGGAAGCACATAACCAAGGTATGAGGATATTAAAGATAAGGTAACACATGTGGGAACCCTAACTGTGTATTCATTATAACAAGAGTGAGAAGCATGAGATGAGGAGCTGAGGCTGGCAAGGTGAGGTGGAGACTACAACATAGACTTGTCTTCTCTACTAATTTTACACGGAATGACACTAAGCAGAGTTATAAGTCCAGGCTTATTCATATTTTAGACAAATCAGTTTGGAACAGTGTGAAAAATGGGTTTGAGAGCACAAGGGAAAAAAAGAAAGTAAGGGAGACCAGTTAGAAGGCTACAGCAATAGGCCAGGCAAGAGATGTCTGAACCAGATCAGGAATTGAAGAAACAGAAGGGACGGAATGAAGGACACGTATGAGGTAAAATTAGTTTGACTAACGTATTGTTTGATTGGACCTGGAAGGGTCTAGGATGAATCAATGATATCTTATTGGGTGACTGTGTAGTGTGGTGTTGCCATTTCCTGACGGGGAAATGCTGAAGGCATAACAGTACAGTGGAGAGAGTACTGACTTGCTTGACAACTGGAGTTTAGAGAGACTGACATGTTTAAGCAGGAAGGTCCTGTTGAGTTGAAGTTCTGGGCACACATCAGAGCAAAAGCTAGAGATTCAAAAACCATCAGCATATACAGATTATAAAGTCATGATAGTGGAACGATGATACCCAAGAAAAAAGAGAATAAGACAAGCAATGGGTAGAGGATAGAGCCCTGGGGGAAATACAACATTTAGGGGCTAACAGAGGAATAGATGTTCATAAGGGAGGCTGAGAAGGAATAATCAGAGAAGATGATGATTGGAATAATGTGATGATTATTCCAGTGATTGAATAATGGTAAGGAATGATTATAGAAGATAAATTGTGAAAACAAAATGAGGAGGCAGAATAGTAAGTGAAGAAACGGGGCACTGAGTAATTGAGAATGCCACTTTGTAAGAAGCTATAAAGCTGGCTGAGCGCAGTGGCTCAAGCCTGTAATCCCAGCACTTTGGGAGCTGAGGCAAAAGGATTGCCTGAGCCCAGGGTTTCGAGACCCACCTGGGCAACTTGGTGAGACTTCATCTCTACAATAAATCAAAAAATTAGCCAGGCAAAGTAGCGCATGTCTGTAGTTCCGGCTACTTGGAAGACTGAGGCAGAAGGATTGCCTGAGCCCAGAGGTTGACATTGGGTTGACCGTGAGTGTGCCACTGCCCTCCATTCTCTGACACACACACACACACACACACACACACACACACACACACACAAAATGAAGCTATAAAACTCATTGTACTATCATGATCATAGTCATAAAAATCACAAGAGAGTATTTGTAAGGCTCCCTCAGATTCCTGATTCTAACTAAATTAAAATGCAAATATATTACCTGTTTTTCACAAGCCAGTAGTCTTTCCCGTTAAGGTTACCATAGCCAACCACTAGTACACCATGGTTTACAACCTGTGTACAGGCTGGGTCATCGTAGACACCTGAGAATAAAATATGGGTATAGAAAAATGGTGAGTATTGTATGATAATAAAGAACATTTGAAAATGCTATTACTTTTTATTAGACTTTTGGATACATAGCAAGGTTAATTAAAATGTTAGGAACAGCTAGGCATGGTGGCTCATACCTGTAATCCCAGCACTTTGGAAGGCAGAGGCAAGAGAATTGCCTGAGCCTAGGGATTCGAGACCAGCCTGGGCAACTAGGTGAAACCTTGTCTCTAGAATAAATTTAAAAATTAGCCAGGTGTGGTGACACGCACCTATAGTTCCAGCTACTTGGAAGGCTAAGGCAGAAGCCTTGCCTGAGCTCAGCAGGTTGAGGCTGCAGTAGCCATGATCCTGCCACTGCACTCTATCCTGGGCAACAGAGTGAGACTCTGACTCAAAATAAATAAATAAAATGTTGGCCAGGCTTGGTGGCTCAGCCTCTAATCCTAGCACTTTGGGAGGCCAAGGTGAGTTGATTGCATGAGCCTGCAAGTTCGAGACCAGCCCGGGCAACTTGGCGAGACCTCATCTCTACAATAAATCAAAAAAATTAGCTGGGCATGGTAGCATGTCCCTCTAGTTCTTGCTACTTGGAAGGCTGAGGCAGAAGGATCGCCTGAGCCTACCAGGTCGACCCTGGGGTAGCTGTGAGTGTGCCACTGCACTACAGCCTGGGTGATGGAGTGAGACTCCAACTCAAAAAAATATATATATATATTAGGAGCATACACTCATATACTTAAACTAGTCAGAGCTCATAATTGTTTGCCATCAATGCTATATTTGTCAGTGTTCTTGCCAAGTTTGGCATCAATCTAATCATAGTTTCCTCAGAAACATTTGATAAGCCACCACCTTTTTCTAATTTTTTTTTAACTTATATACAGTCAGTTATTGTATTTTTTTGTGTATACTAGCACACCTTGTTTTATTGCACTTTGCTTTATCGTGGTTCAATACATAGTTTTTTTTCTTTTCTTTTTTTTAAGAGCCTGGGTCTCACTTTGTTGCCCAAGCTGGAGTGCAGTTGTGGGATCATAGCTCACTGTAACCACTAACCCCTGGGTTCAAGCAATCCTCCCTCTTCAACCTCCCAAAGTAGTGAGATTAAAGACATGAGCCAGATATTGAATTTTTTTTTTTACAAATTGAAGATTTGTGTCAACCCTATGTCAAGCAAGTCTGTCGGTGCTATTGTTACAAAAGCATGTGCTCACATCATGTCTTTGTGTCACATTTTGGTTATTCTCACAATATCTCAGACTCTTTCATTATTATTATATCCATTATGGAGATCTCTGATGTTACTATGATGTTACCATTGTAATTTGGGGGTTGGGGCATCACAAACTGCACCCATATAAGAAAGCAAACTCAATTGATAATTGATGTTGGGTGTGTTTTGACTGCTCCACTGCCTGGCCATTCTTCTGCCTCCCTAGTGCCTGAGACACAACAATATTGAGATTAGACCAGTTAACAACCCTATAGAGACTTATAAGTGTTCAAGGGAAACAAAGAGTTTCTCTCACTTTAAATCAGAAGCTAGAAATGATTAAACTTAGTGAGGAAGGCATGTCAAAGCTGAGACAGGCTGAAAGCTAGGCCTCTTGTGCCAAACAGTTTGCCACGATGTGAATGCAAAAGAAAATTCTTGGAGGAAACTAAACATCCTTATTGCTGACATGGAGCAAATTTGAGTGGTCTGGATAGAAGATCAAACAAACCACAACAGTCCCTTAAGACAAAACTTAATTCAGAGCAAGGACCTGACTCTTCAATTCTATAGAGGCTGAAAGAGGTGAGGAAGCTACAGAAGAAAAGTCTGAAGCCAGCAGAGACTGCTTCATGAGATTTTGTTTTGTTTTGTTTTTGAGTGGGAGTCTCACTTTGTCGCCCAGGCTGGAGTGCAGTGGCATGCTGCTCATAGCCACCATAGCCTTGACCTGCTGGGCTCAGGTGATTCTTCCACCTTAACCTTCCAAGTAGCTGGAACTACAGACGCGTGCCACCATGCCCGGCTTATTTTTTAATTTATTGTAGAGATGAGGTCTTGCCAAGTTGCCCAGGCTGGTCTCGAACCCCTGGGTTCAAGCAATCCTCTCACCTCCACCTCCCAAAGTGCTGGGATTGCAGGCATGAGCCACCATACAACCTAACAACAGTGATGATGGAGAAGCTGCCACAAGTGATCCTGAAGATCTAGCTGAGATCATGGATAAAGGTGGCCATACTAAACAACAGATTTTTCATGTAGGGGAAACAGATTTATATCAGAAGATGTCATCCAGGACTTTCATAGCCATCATGCCTGGCCAACAGCACATCTCTTTACAATATGGTTTACTAAATGTTTTAAGCCCAATGTTAAGTCCTACTGCTCAGAAAAAGATTCCTTTCAAAATATTACTACTCATTTCACACCTGTAATCCCACTGTTTTTGGTAGACTGAGGCAGGAGGCTCACTTGAGGCCAGGAGTTCAAGACCAGCATGGGCAACACAGCGAGACCCTGTCTCTACAAAAAGTTTAAAAAATTAGGCATAGAGGTGTGTGTCTGTACTCCTAGCTGCTTGTGAGGCTGAGGTAGGAGGATTGCTTGAGCCCAGGAGGTTGATGCATCAGTGAGCTCAGAGCACACCACTGTACTCTTGCTTGGGCAACAGAGTAAGACTTTGTCTCAAAAAATAAAATAAAATAAAAAAACCCTAAATATTACTACTCATTGACAATGCACCTGGTCACTCAAGTGCTCTGATGGATACTTGCAGCCCAGGGGTCAAGGAGCAATTTTGACTTTCAAGTCTTATAATTTTTTTTTTTTTTTTGTGAGTTGGAGTCTCACTCCGTTGCCCATACTGGAGTGCAGTGACCGCTCCCGGCCACCGCAGCCTTGACCTGCTGGGCTCCAGCGATCCTTCCGCCTCAGCCTTCCAAGTAGCTGGAACTACAGGCGTGTGCTACCACGCCTGGCTAATTTTTTTGATTTATTGTAGAGATGAGGTCTCGCCAAGTTGCCCAGGTGGGTCTCGAACCCGCGGGCTCAGGCAATCCACTCACCTCAGCCTCCCAAGGCGCGGGATTACAGGCTGAGCCACTGAGCCCGGCAAGTCTTATAATTTAAGCAATGCATTTCATAAGGCTAGAGCTGCCACAGATAGTGATTCCTCTTATGGATCTGGGCAAAGAAAATTGAAAACCTTCTGGAAAAGATTCACCATCCTAGAGGCCATTAAGAACATTGGTGATTCATGGGAGGAGGTAAAAATATCAACATTAACAGGAGTTTGGTAGAGGTGATTCCAGGCCTGATGGATGGCTTTGAGTAGTTCAAGACCTCAGTGGAGGAAGTCACTGCAGACGTGGTGGAAGTAGCAAGAGAACTAGAGTTAGAAGTGGAGCCTGAAGATGGGACTGAATTGCTGCAATCTCATGATCAAACTTGAATGGATGAGGAGTTACTTCTAAGGGACAAGCAAAGAAAGTGGTTTTTTTGAGATGGAATCTACTCCTGGTGAAGATGCTGTGAACTTTGTTGAAATAACAGCGAAGGATTTATAATGTTACATAAGATTAGTTGATAAGGCAGCAGCAGGGTTTGAGAAGATTGACTCCAATTTTGAAAGTTCTATTGTGGGTAAAATACTGTCAGTCAGCATCACATGCTACAGAGAAATCATTTGTGTCAATCAGGGCAAAATATCATTGTTAGCTTATTTTAAGAAATGGCACAGCCACAGCAACTTCTGCAGCTTTCATCCCATCAGGTAGTAGCCATCCACATTGAGGCAACACCCTCCAAAAAGATTTTGACCTGCTGAAGGCTCAGATGATGGTTAGTACTTTTTTGCAATAAAATATTTTTAAAATATTTACATTTTTTAGACATAATGCTATTGCAAACTTAATAAATCTGAATTTTACCACTTTTGTAGAGGAAGAAGGAAGGGTGACTCGCATCTATTCCAACAGACACAGGTCCTTTAGTGGCCACCACTTCTTGCAGGACATCTTCTCTGCCAAAAGGAAGTTCAGTGTACTTTGAACACGTGGCAGCACGATATTTTGCATCATACTGGCACGTTCCATCCTGCAAAAAAAGTATCAGACAGAAAAATATACTTCAACTTCCTTTATAAGTCAGTATCCAAACTGGATTTCAAATATGTTTGCTTTCCTCATGTTAGCCTTGCCAAGTGTCTAAAGCTCCTCCTGCCTTTGTGAATCTTCCAAATCCTAAGGTCTCAGGATTCACCAATCACAGAGGAAAGATAGAATGATTGTTGTAAATTGTAAGCTATTCATACATTCAAAACTTGCCAGGACAATGTCCCCTCAGATTCTGAAGAGGATTGTAGGGAAATATGACATAGAAATAAACTCTAGGCCAGGTACAGTGGCTCAAGCCTGTAATCCCAGCACTTTGAGAGGCTGAGATGAGGGGATTGCCTGAGCCCACTGGTTCAAGAACAGCCTGGGAAACTTGGCAAAACCTTATCTCTACAATAAATCAAAAACTTAGCTGGGCGTGGTAGCATGCACCTGTAGTTCTGGCTACTTGGAAGGCCGAGGCGGAAGGATTGTCTGAGCCCAACAAGTTGATGATGGGGTGACTGTGAGCGTGCTACTAGACTCCAGCCTGGGCAATGGAGTGAGACTCCAACTCAAAAAAAAAAGAAAGAAAAGAAATAATAAATAAACTGTAACTTACATAGAGCTCATAAACTCTAAATTCGAGATTTAAGATCTTTTGGATGATATAATGCTTATAAGATGATCTGCAATTAAGATACTGGCTTATAAAGGCCATATAATATGGGAACACAAATATATTTCAAGTGAGAAAAGGTGGGTACAAACTCATGTCTGTTGTATATACAACTGTTTTTTAAATACTTAGCAGTAAAATAACTTGAAAGAAATAAATCAAAATAATAGTGGCTAAGGTAGGAGGTTTTTGAGTGATATTTTTACTATTTCTTATTTTCTGTAATATGGACGTAATACTTATATCATTTAACAAAATGCATAATGAACTTGTGAGGAGAGGAGAACATTATTTAGCTTCTCAGTAGGTGGAAGAATGATGTGGTGAATAATCTGAGAAGAGGTTGAGCATTGGAGGTTGCGGGAGAAAAAAATTTCAATACCAGCCAGATATGCAGAAAGTTTTTTCAGGGTAGTTTGCTGAAAGTCAGTTTTTAAACATAAATGCTATTTGCTTGCTTAAAAACATTGTGCTCCTGGCACATTAAAAGGGGTCCTTTCTAAGAAAGAGAACTCTTGAGAATTTAAGAATTCCCATTGGAGTTCTCTCTTATACACAGTCCTGCTTCTCAAGCAACTGGAATGGTGGGGCATCCAGTGCAGTCAGTGGAGAACTTGAGGTCATGGGCAGTGTGGATGGAAAGCTTGTGACACACCTTGGCTGTGTAGGGATAGGAGGCGTCCGAGTCGATGCCGTTGTTGTCAATGATGTATTGGAAAGCCTGCGTCATGAAGCCCCCTTGGCAGCCTTTATTCCTGTATTTTTCAGTTGAGCAATCTACTAGGTTCTGTGCACTGAGTGATACTAGCTTTCCTGTTTTCAGCTTCAGCTGTGCTTCCAGGGCCCCCACAGCACTGAAAGCCCAGCAAGCACCACAAGAACCCTGAAACAGACACAAGGTCACAAAGGTAGTCACAGACAATCAGCAGGAGTGACTTCCACAACACTGACTGGACAACTGCCAACTACTTCACCCTATAAGAGCTCCTCCCTACACGTTTCCTTCTCTCTTAAACAGTGGGAATAAAGACTAAATACTTGATCGTTCTCTAGCCAGGGTCTAACCGATGGAGATTTGCAAATGGCTAATCTCAGAGCATAATGACCATATTCAATTAAGAAACAGTTCTCACAGAGTAAGTATTAAATCCTGTCTATTTTCACCCATAAGTAAGGAGATAGATTCCTATAGTAAAGGGATTTTGAGAGGAGCTAGAAGGATCTTGACCTACTTCCTTCTGCCAAATAATGCCTGAAACATATTAACTTTAGTCCTAGGTTGGCATTTTTCAAACGCTGTTACCTTCAAACTTTTTGATCAAAAGATACTTTACAGACCAGGCTACTTGGAAGTTCAAGCTACTTGGAAGGATCACCTGAGCCCAGCAGGTGGACGCTGGAGTGACTGTGAGCATGCTACTGCTTATACCTATAATCCCAGCACTTTGGGAGGCCAAAATGAGAGGATTGCCTGAGCCCACAGGTTCAAGACCAGCCTAGGCAACTTGGCGCGACCTCATCTCTACAATAAATCAAAAAATTAGCCCAGCATGGTGGTACACGCCTGTAGTTCCAGCTACTTGAAAGGCTGAGGCAGAAGAATTGCCTGAACCCAGCAGGTTGAGGTTGCAGTGGCCGTGAGTATGCCACTGCTCTCCAGCCTGGGCGACAGAGTGAGACTCTGATACCCTCACCCCCCCAAAAAAGATATTTTACAGGGAGGCATAAACAAACAGAAAAACACAAAGCTACTGGAGCTTTAAAGGCAGAGCATTCAGAGCCATCAGAATGGTTCTCTCCCCTCCCCTCCTCGTACCTTGCCCTCAACCCAAAGGAAGCAAACTGAAATTGCTTTTGGTTAAAGCAAAATCACTTGTTAAAATCCAAGGAGTTCATTAAATTACTTAGATTTAACACCTAAATATGTAGTTGATTGGGTCTTCCCAAGCTTTTACTTGCGAGAAGCTTGGGTAAGACACCCACAACTAACTGCAAGAAGAATATGTAGGCGGAAAAGAGTAAGAGAGCAGCAGTGCCATTCACCTCAGCAATTAACATCTGACTTTCTTCTTTGATCACAAGCTGGGGGAACTGCTTAGAAGCTCTGATTCTTCTCTCTTACGCTGGCCTCTAAGGCGACACGTGTTTTACCCTTAGTTATCTTTAACTAATTTAGGATTTTTGTAGTTTTTTTTAAACAAGCAAACTATAGATCAATACAACATAGGAACAATAGTTTCATTATTATTATTATTATTATTATTATTGAGTTGGAGTCTTACTATGTCACCCAGACTAGGGTACAGTGGTATGATCGCGGCTACCGCAGTCTCAACCTTCCACTTCAGCCTTCCAAGTAGCTGGAACTACAGGTGTGCGCCACCACACCCAGCTAATTTTTGATTTATTGTAGAGATGAGGTCTCTTGCCAAGTTACCCAGGCTGGTCTCGAACCTCTAGGCTCAGGCAATCCTCTGGCCTCCACCTCCCAAAGTGCTGGGATTTCAGGCGTAAGCCACTGTACAACCTAACAACAGTTTTAAAGGTACATATTTTGTAATCTAACAATGTAAGCTCAGCCATGAATTAACCTGAGTGGTACTATTTATAGGCCACTCAAGCTCTAGTTCTTTTTTCTTCTTCAACCCTGAAATTCATAAATGGGATGGAGAGAGAAACTTCTTGATCAGGGTTCTTTTACACACATTGACTGCTAACTACTTCTCAAGCAGTCAGTGAGTGGAAAGAGTCTGTCTTAGCTGGGCTCGGTGGCTCAGCCTGTAATCCCGCGCCTTTCGGAGGCTGAGGTGAGTGGATTGCCTGAGCCCGCGGGTTTGAGACCCGCCTGGGCAGCGAGACCTCATCTCTACAATAAAATCAAAAAATCAGCCGGGCGTGGTAGCGCATGCCTGTAATTCCGGCTACTCAGAAGGCTGAGGCGGAAGGATCGCCGGAGCCCAGCAGGTCGAGGCTGTGGTGGCCGGGAGTGGCCACTGCACTCCAGTCTGGGTGACAGAGTGAGACTCCAACTCAAAAAAAAAAAAAAAAAAAAGAACTATTTGCTAGTTTTTGTCTAAATAGGTGGCTTTATAACCACTTAGAACAGCACTTTGGGGAATACCATTGTCCCTCGGTATCTACAGGGGATTGGTTCCAGGACCTCTGTGGATATCAAAATCCAGGATGCCCAAGTCCTTTATGCAAATGAGGTGGTATTTGCATATAAGTAGCATATAACCTATGCTCATCCTCCTATATACTTTAAATCATCTCTAGATTGCTTGTAATGCTTAATACAATGTTAATTTTATATGAATAGTTACTATACTTTTTTTAAAGTGTATTTTTTTAAATTGTTGATAGTATTGTTATTCTTTCTGAATCCTTTTGATCTACAGTTGTTGAATTCCTGAATGTCAAACCCATGAATATGGAGGGCCAGCTGTATGAATAAAGTATAATATGTGATCCTCGCCCTTAAGGAGCTTACACTTTAGTTAGAAAGACAAGAACAACAAAAATAATTAGAAAGTAACATATGGGACTGTAAGATTCACTCCAAATCATGTAGCTAGGGTAAGCATTTAAAGAAGAGAGAGCCCTACCTAGAGTGCAAAGACTTGGGATGGTGAAACTCACCTGGTATTTCACTTCAGTAACACAGCCCTTCTCTCTCCAGTCCAGAGAATCTGGCAATTTCTGATTAGGGTTTGACTTATAAGTGACATTTCTCTGCCATTGGCTGGGAATTCTCAGGGAACCCATCAAAAACATCACTTCTTCACTGGTCTATAAAGCAAACAGATAGTCATGCATCGCTAAACGATGAGGATATGTTCTGAGAAATGCATCGTTAGGTGATTAAGTCGTATAAACATCATAGAGGGAATTTACACACACCTAGATGGAATAGCCTACCACACACCTAGGCTCTATGATGTAGCCTATTGCTCCTAGGATATAAACCTGAATGGTATATTACTGTACTACATACCATAGGCAGTTGTACCATGGCAGTCAGTATTTGTGTATCTAAACATAGAAAAGGTACAGTAAAAATACAGTATAAAAGATACAAAATGGCACACCTGTATAGAGTATTTACCATGAACAGAACTTGCAGGACTGGAAATTGCTCTGGGTGAGTTGGTGAGTGAGTGAAGAGTGAATGTGAAGGCCCAGGACACTATTGTACCATACTGTAGACTTTATAAACACTGCACACTTAGGCTGCACTAAATTTATTCAAAAAAGTTTTTGCGATAGCAAATTAACCTTAGCTCACTGTAACTTTTTGACTTTATAAACGTCTTAATTTTTAAAAAATGTTTTGACTTTTGTAATAACAGCTTAAAATATATATCATACAGCTGTGCAAAAATATTGCTTTATAACTTTTTTCTATTATATATTTTTTTACTTTTGAAACTTTTTTTGTTAAAAACAAAGAAACAAACACCCACATTAGCCTAGCCTATCTTCCACCTCCACACTTTGTCGCCCTGGAAGGTCTTTAGGGGCAATAAGCATGCATGGAGCTGTCATCTCCTGTGATAGCAATGCCTCCTTCTGGAATATCTCCTGAAGGACCTGCCTGAGGCTGTTCTACAGTTACCTTTTTTCCATATGAGTAGAAGGACTACACTCTAAAATAACAATAAAAAGTATAGAATAGTAAATATATAAACCAATAACATAGTCGTTTATTATTATCAAGCATTATGTACTGTACATAATTATAGGTGCTATACTTCTATACAAGTGGCAGCGCCACAGGTTTGTTTACACCAGCATCATCACAAATGAGTAATGTGTTGCCCTATGTTTTCACAAATACAAATCAACATCACCAGATGATAGGAATTTTTCAGCTCCATAATCTTCTAGGACTGCCATATGCAGTCCATTGTTGACTGAACTGTATGTGATGTGTGACTGTATATCCCTTTCACTTCTTTCACTTATGAACTTCTTGTTAATATCCTAATACCTGCAAATGTGAATATCTTTTTTTTTTTTGAGTTAGAGTCTCACTCTGTCACCCCCAGACTGGAGTTCAGTGGCACACACACAGCCACCGCAGCCTCGACCTGCTGGGCTCAGGCAATTCTTCCATCTCAGCCTTCCAAATAGCTGGAACTACAGGCATGCACCACCATGCCCAGCTAATTTTTAAAAATTTATTGTAGAGACTAGGTCTCGCCAAGTTGCCCAAGCTGGTCTTGAACCCGTGGACTCAGGCAATCCTCTCGCCTCCACCTCCCAAAGTGCTGGGATTACAGGCATAAGCCACTGTGCTCGGCTCATGAATATCTTTTGAAACAGAGAAAAACCAGGAGTAGCTGTGACCAACATCAGTTCTGTTACAATCTGAGGAGGTGAATTATCTGGGTTTCCTTAGTCTTGGGCTTTGCATGAGAATCTCAGTTATATATCTTATTGGGAAAGAGAAAAAGAAAATGGTAAAAATTAGAAGTTACAGGGAGACAGGTTTTTGGTTCGAAGCAGGGCAGCATTTCATAAAAGGGCCATCTAAAAGGGTCAACCAGGTGGGGCTCGGTAGCTCAGCCTGTAATCCCAGCTCTTTAGGAGGCTGAGGCGAGTGGATTGCCTGAGCCCATGGGTTCGAGATCAGCCCAGGCAACTTGGTGAGACCTCATCTCTACAATAACTAAAAAATGATTAGCCGGGCGTGGTAGCGTGTGCCTGTAGTTCCAGCTACTTGGAAGGCTGTGGTGCAAGGATCACTGGAGGCCAGCAGGTCGACGCTGGGGTGGCCATGAGCATGCCACTGCTGCACTCCAGCCTGGGCGAAAGAGTGAGACTCCAACTCAAAAAATAAAATAAAATGTCAACCAAACTATTGTTCCCCGTGAGAAAGAATTAGCAAGGAGATTCTTGATTTTAAATAGGAATTCAGTCTGCCCAACGTGTTTGCTTCTTAACTTTGACCATAAAATCCAAAGAATTAAGAGAAATTATTTGTGACATTAAATACCCATATGCTTGGATTAAGAAAGCAGGTGGATCATATTAAATTGCCAATTTAGACTTAAATAGTATGGTAAGGTACTATAAAAGACTGTCAAAAGTCTTCAGGCAGTGCTTTCTAGAATACATAAAAATAAAAGCAGTACTAGTCTGTGAGTTTAAAGTTTCCTCTAAGGACCAGGCATGGCTACTCACACCTGTAATCCCAGCACTTTGGGAGGCAGAGGCGAGATGATTGCCTGAGCTCAGGGGTTCGAGACCAGTCTGGGTAACTTGGCGAGACCTTGTCTCTACAGTAAATCAAAAAGTAAGCCTGGCATGGTGGTTCATGCCCATAGTTCCAGCTACTTGGAAGGCTGAAGTGGAAGGATCACCTGAGACCAACAGGTCGAGACTGCGGTGGCCGTGAGCATGCCATTGCACTCCAACTTGGGTGACAGAGTGAGACTCAAAAAAAAAAAATTTCCTCTAAGAAAGGTAATTGTTAAAGAAAGTGGTCAAAGTAGGACTAGATAAAGATTTTTTGGTACAAATTCTTATGTTCTTAAATTCGACTGTTTTTTAACTTCGTACTTATATAGCTATACTCTCCTTTGTTGTTGTTTTGTTGTTTACCTTTAAATTGCTTTTGGGGAGATAGAAATTGTGCTTGCCCAGACACAAAAGATGGATTATTTGTAATTTGCCTACCATGTCTGCTAGGTGGTTCATGCCTAGATCATATGAATGAATTCCCATGGAATGCTCCAGATTGTGAAGCATCACAAACTTTAGATTCTTTTCCCAGATGAGACGCCGTACTGCTTCTTCATTCTAAAATATAAAGAAAAAGAGCATAGTTAGACAGCATCCTGGACAAGTAAGTGTTCAATAATGAAAATAGCACTTTTGTGACCAGGCACGGTAGCTCATGCCTATAATCCCAACACTTTGGGAGACTGAGGCAGGAAGATCACTTGAGCCCAGGAGTTCAAGACCAGCCTGGGTAACATAGCGGGACCTCATCTCCACACACACACACACACACACACACACACACACACACACACACACACACACATAATTAGCCTGGCATGGTGGTGTATGCCTGTAGTCCCAGTTATTTGGGAGGCTGAGGCGGAAGGATTGCCCGAGCCCAGGAGGTGGAGGCTACAGTGAAGTCTCCCTATTCACCTGTTCTTGCCCCAAGTGACTTTTTTTGTTTTCCCGGATGAAAAAAGTTCTCAAAGGGAAACGTTTTGCCAGTGTGGAAGAGGTGAAACAAAAAATGGCAGAAGCACTAAAAGGTATCAAAATTGACGAGTTCAAAAACTATTTCAAGCCGTGGAAAAAGCGTCTCGATAGATGGATTGCATCAAACAGAGTCCTTTGAAGATGACTGAAGTGTAAACATGTAAGAATAAATACACAATTTTTTATAAATGAATTCCATTTTGGGGGGCCTCCCTCATACATTAAATAAATAAATATATGATGCTGGCTTATAAACACAAATATATAGTTATGGGACTTAGTTATTTGAAGCAATAGGGTTAAGGTCTTAAAATTGGCCAGCAAGTATGTTTTGAAATAAAAGTACAAAGTGGGAAGTGAGAGTCAAGATGCAATATCTGGTGGCACTTCTGTGTGCTGGGGACAGTCACCAGGCCTTTTAGTCCCGCCCGTGTCAAATGTGCTCCTTCCTCAGGGCCTTGCACCTGTTTTCCCTTGGCCTGGAACCTTCGCTCCATTATATGTTTGCTTAGACTTCTTCCACCCAGGCCCTTCCTACCCTCCAGGCCTTATTTTATTTTTCTCTACTGTGCTTATCACCATTCGGCATACTATATATATCTGCTTTTTTATTTACTTTCTTCCTGTCTCTCCCACCATAACAGAACTTTGTTTTGTTTCCTCCTGTATAGAACCTACTTTATAGCACTGATAACAGCATCTGGCAAGAAATGAGTGCATACTATTTACTGAAAACACAGCTTGTAAGAGCAGTTTTGAGGGGCAGAATACAGGGCACTTGTAAAAGCACACTGAACTGCAAACCCATCTACCTTGGCCTTGTATTGTTTGCCATGGGTTTTCTTCCAGAGATGCCAGTGGTGATCCAGGGTAGCATCTTTCTGCATTTGGGCTACTGCAGAGGAACACACCAGGAGAACCCAGATCAGGCATTTCAATCTATTTAAAGGAAGGTAACACGGGAAGAGTAGCTGTTAGCTGCATATATTGTGACCATATTTTTTCTTTCTTTCTTTCTTTCTTTTTTTTTGAGTTGGAGTCTCACTCTGTAGCCAAGGCTGGAGTGCAGTGGCACGCTCACGGCCACTACAACCTCGACCTGCTGGGCCTAGTCGATCCTTCCACCTCAGCCTTCCCAGTAACTGGAACTACAGGCACACGCTACCATGCCCAGCTTATTTTTTTTCATTTATTGTAGGGATGAGGTCTCACCAAGTTGCCCAGGCTGGTCTCAAACCCACGGGCTCAGGCAATCCACTCACCTTGGCCTTCCCAAAGTGCTGGGATTACAGGCTGAGCCACCGAGCCTGGCCCATATTTTTTCAGGATAGAAAATAGCAATACAAAATCTATCAAAGGGACAGGCGATAATAAATCAGAATTATAGGCCAGGCTCGGTGGCTCAGAGTGAGACTCTAACTAAAAAAAAAAAAAAAAAGAACAGGACATGCTGGACAAGGTGACTCACACCCGTAATCCCAGCACTTTGGGAGGCAGAGATAAGAAGATCGCCTGAGCCCATGGGTTCAAGAACAGCCTGGCAACTTAGCCAGACCTTATCTCTGCAATAAATCAGAAAACTAGCCGGGCGTGGTAGCGCGTGCCTGTGGTTCACTCTGTCACCCAACCTGGAGGGCAGTGCCATGGTCACGGTCACCACAGCCTCAACCTCAGCCTTCTAAGTAACTGGAACTACAGGCACGCACCACCATGCCCAGCTAATTTTTATTTTTTTAATTTATTTTATTTTATTTTATTTTGAGTTGGAGTCTCACTGTGTCACCCAGACTAGAGTGCAGTGGCCGCTTCTGGCCACCGCAGCCTCGACCTGCTGGGCTCTGGCGATCCTTCCGCCTCAGCCTTCCAAGTAGCTGGATTTACAGGCATGCGCTACCACGCCCAGTTGATTTTTTTGATTTATTGTAGAGATGAGGTCTCGTTGCCCAGGCGGATCTCGAACCTGCCGGCTCAGGCAATCCACTCACCTCAGCCTCCCAAAGGCGCGGGATTACCGGCTGAGCCACCGAGCCTGGCTTAATTTTTTTATTTATTGTAGAGACAAGATCTCACCAAGGTACCCAGGTTGGTCTCGAGTCCCTGGGCTCAAGTAATGCTCTTGCCTCCGGCTCCCAAAGTGCTGGAATTACATACATGAGCCGTCGTGTCTGGCCTATCTTCTGAAGTTTTTAATACACAAATTCTTCTTAAGCCTATTTAAATATACATAGCCTTTAGAGAAGGTTAAGATATAACTGTCATGTATTGTTTTCACATCCTTAGGTAATTTTCTTTTTTAAACTTTTTTTTAACAATTAAATATCTATTTCAAATGAAGCAGTTAACTATTCTTTAAAATATCACTTCTATATTTAATTCAAAGAGACTTTAACAAATTCAGTGACTAGCACCCTCAAACTGGATGCTTCTTTCTGTTCCATTTCTTTTTAATTGAAAACTGCTGGAAATAACTGGGAGCGGTGGCTCATGCGTGTAATCCCAACACTTTGGGAGGCGGTGGTGAGAGGATTGCTTGAGCCCATAGGTTCAAGACCAGCCTGAGCAACAATAAATCAATTAGCCAGGCGAACTGGTGAGCACCTGTAGTTCCAGCTACTTAGATGCCTGAGGCAGAAGGATCACCTGAGTCCAGCTGTTCGAGGCTTTCGTGGCAGTGATTTTGTCACTGCACTGTAGACTGGGCGACAGAGTGAGTAAGACTCTGACTAAAAAGAAACATGAAATTTTAACCATGTAAACCTTCAAATTAGCCACATTTCAACTTCAATTTAGATGCTCAAAAGACATTACCTTTTAAAAAATAGACCATTTTTAATCAGAAAGAGAAGAGGCAAATTGAGCTACATGTTTTTTTAGCTTACTTCCTGAAACCAAAGATTTCAAACCTGGCAGGCAGAGCAAGTTAAAAACATAAACGAGTGTTTAAAGACTAAGTGGGAAGAAAAAGACGGTACATACACAGTAGAATCAGCAGGTCCTCCCATGGTTAGAGTGCTTGAATTGGTGGGCTCTCTTCTAAGATTTCAGAGGCAGTAGGGAGGCTTCAGCTGAATTGGCTTTAAAAAAGAAATTGGAACTCATCACATGAGGTACCCACAATGAGGAAGTGAACTTTCATTTCAGTTTCATTTAAAATCTAACTACATTAGCCACTCTGGTCCTCTCCCAATGGACTTGGGAATGAAATGGGCACAGTAAACCATTAGGAAGAGCCCCTGTAGGGAAGATCAATAGAGTAAATTTAGCAAAGAAAGAGCAGTACAAGTGTCCCCTTTCATACCTCATCATTCTGACAATTCTCTTTATTAAAAACACCAGTTTTCAGATGGAAATCATTTAATTATAAAGAGTTGAGGATTAAACTCCTGAAATCCCAGCTCCTTCCATGATTTCCTAGGCAAATCCACCTTGTTGCTTTTAATACAACTCATCTATGACCTACTGTTGTCTGATTCTCACTCAGCTATTCCTTTGTTCATCAATTCAAACTAACTTTATTAATACATATTATATATAAAAATAGTTACGTATATATAAGTATATGTGTTAGCATATTCACGGAAAATGATATACCTATATGCATCTAACTGCTAGAGTGGTGATCTGAGTGGGGTGGGAGCAAGATGAATTATCATTTTTTTAAAAATTTATATTTTCAGCCGGGCTCGGTGGCTCAGCCTGTAATCCCGCGCCTTTGGGAGGCTGAGGAGTGTATTGCCTGAGCTCGCGGGTTCGA